AGAATTTTCTCCTTCTATTCTTTTGTAGTTCTAGCTTCCATGTTCATCGTAGCTCCCAAATATTTAAACCGGTAAACTCTTTAAAAAATTGGTATATTTTCTTCTATTTTGTTCTATTCTGTCTCTTCATTCTATTCTGGTTGTAGTCATATATTTTGTTTCATCTTTGTTGGTTCGTAAACTAGTTTTTTTTGCAGTATTCTTCGGCTCAATAAACTCTTCCCTAACATTAATAGTTGTATTTCTACTACCCATATTTATCTATAGGCAGTAGGTACTATTAGCAAAAAACAAACTCTAAAACAATATTAAAGAGGAGTAGGGATAACGCCTATCCCCGATTTTTGTACAATTCCTTCAATTTTTACTGCACTTGTAGTTTCCTCTACACAAGCTTTTGTTAAATTAATTAACTTTAACTATTATTAATGGCGTTCTACAACTCTATTCTCATGATGCTATCGTAAGCTAAATCTATAAATAGCTGCAAGGGTGCAATGTTTTGTTATATTCCCAACGTTTCTTCATGAGCTACCTAATAGTTAATATTTAATCTACTGTTGATCGGTTTTTACTTAAACCACACTGGTAATCTCTTATTAATGTTAATTGATGCATTAATAATTGAATTATTTTCTGAGATTTCCAAAACATTTTAAGGCGGCATTCCACGGCGTGTGTATCGACAATCCTGGCTCGTGGCTTGAGTTCGTCTAGGCTCGCATAGGCTGGGCTCGTTAATCTGGGCTTGGCAAGTGGATGCGATCCCACGACGCGTGAAAGGTCGTGAAGAAGGCTCGTGTTGGTTTGGCAAATTTAGTTTTTAGTCGTGCCAGTGGTGTTGCAACATGAACATGAATAATCGACGAAGACGAAATGCAGCTTGTGTTGCAGCCGCTTGTTACATCATTCAATACCCCTTGCACTCCCTATGTATGTATGTCATGTTGGGTAATTTTTTGAACCAGCAACAACGGCAAATAAAGGCGTTGGTGGAGAGTGTCATTGTATAAATGGAAATAAGAAACTCTTATGCTCAATATTTTACAACAAATGGGGCATTACCGTGGCAAAATGATTATTAAATATTTATAATTAATATTACTCTAACTGTGTAACTTTCAAATATAAATATTTGTAAGTAGATAATAAAAAAAAATCTATGTTTTATTTTCATAAAAAGAAACTGAAATAAGATAAACAGAAATTGACTGGAACAAAAAAATGCAGAATCTGATAAAGATTATAATGCATATATTTTCAATATACCTAATTTGGAAAAATTTTCAAAGAAAATGGCATTTTTAGTATTATATTGCTGTTACGCCCCCTAGCGGCCAACTTTTGAACTAGAAAATAATTTCCAGCGATTTGTCATGGCCGATTTACTCGTAAATATTTTTTCCTAGGGTTATTAACGGTTTTCGAACCAAACCACCCTGTACATACAATTATTGTATGAAAACATAAAGTTTTACCCCGTTAAGTTTACCCTGTAAGAAAATTTCCCAAAAATTGACTACTTTTGAGAATTAGCATAATTGTAAAGTAAAGACAGAAATTATATAAACCAACTTACCTCTGAATATGTTGTTTTTATTCGGCATATAAACACCGTGCAAAAACCGGTACATGAATTCAAAGGCAAACCAATCAGGTTTGAATACATTCTGGGATCCAGACCCAGTTTTTGTTGTGTCTTTGACTTTTTGTAAAAGCTTTCGGAAAGAAGCCATTATATAGGCTATCCCTTTTTTTAATTCCGTCACCGTAAACTTGTTGGACATTTGTTCTTCAATTCGTTTCCAAGCATCATGGACCAGATACCCATTTTTGTGGTCTGGGTCCTTTGGGTTCCATATCGCCAGTTCACCATCGTAGAAACATAAAAACTCGAGCACCAAGTCGTTGGACCACTCCATAATTATTTTTTCCATCATCATGCTGCCAACCGTACGCAGCAAGTCAAGACGACGCTGATACTGAACCGAACCTCCGTACTTGTTTCAGGGATCGTTGGATCGGGTTGAACACATAACACGAGCCGAGCTCGAAGAGGCTCGCCTTCCTTTGAGTATCGTCAAGTTTACCGACAGAAAGCGGGTACGTCCAAGCCGCGCCAAAAATGACGAGCTGTCTCATAGCTGTTCGGTTCCACGACTCGTGTATCGGCGGGTCTTGCTCGTGGATTGCCGATACACGCACCGTAGGATGCCGCCTTTATACTTCCTCAAAACGAATTGGTTGGAATCTCTAGGGATGGAACAATTGGATTGTTGAGTGTTTATAACCATCCAGTGGCACTGAAGAGACGGATGACTTCCATTTTGCTCTTCCCAACAACATTTTCAGGATCTACGAAGCTGCAGAGTCCGAGGATAAAATGAATTCATATTTTTTCCATTACCAATATTGATTTCACAATTTATTATTCATCCTATATATTATTTTGTAAAAATATCATTTCCTGCCTCACAATATTAAAGTATCGTTTGGTGTAAGGGTTGGGCAGCTCGAACTGCATTAACAGTAATTTCACCGTACCCACGCGGTCTCATTGTAATTCGTTTTAACGCCGAAACAAATCTAAAACAAATTGTATTTGTCACCTTCTGAACCAGAAACACACAATTTACACACAATGGCCGCAGTGGCTATCGGCGGTTCCCATCTTCGCCGACACGAAGAAATTAAACGTCGCCGTCCACGTGCTCGATTGATACACGAGAAACATAGCCAAAGGACGGAAAAATCCAGTTCAGAGTAACAAATGAATTCTGTGTTTTGGTGGATTTATTTAAGCAGGAGGAAGTTATTATTTCTGTTAATATAATTATTGTATTGAGACGATTATTAATTATTAATAATCGTCTCATATAAAGCATTTGCAAGATTATGACCAGCTCTGTGAGTAAACATATTAATTAAGGAGTATAATGTTATATGGACTATGACATCGCATCTGACGGAATAATCAAAACCGGATGCTATGGAGCATTGTTTTTTATTCAGGTGCTTGGCTGCCGCCTAACAATTTAAAATGGAATGTTGCTGTTAATTTATCATAAAAATATATAAAAACCTGACTTAAGCCTTTTATAAAAAGACTTAAATCTTTTTAATGACTAATTTTTCTCAAGACTTAACTAACTTTTTAATGACTAATTTATATCAAGACTTAAATTTTTTAATGACTTAAATCTTTTCTAAAGACGTAAATATTTTTTTATTTCCGAATAAAGATTTAAATCAAAAAGTCATTTTGAAAAAGACTTAAATTTTAAGTCTTAAGTCAGCTTTCGAAAATGACTTAAAATGAGTAAAATAAAAAAAAAGAGTTAAAGTTGATAAGTTTTCTGTATTGTAGCATTTTATGAGCGGTTGCCTTATTGTTGAAATTTTCATACTTTATTATTGTTAGAAATAAATACGGCTTTTTTAAATTTGCGCTTTTTCCAAGGTCATTGTGGACAGCAAGACCAAGACCAAGCAAGCATGACTCTTGCGATTTTGCGTTTTTTTCACGTTTATATGATATTAGGAATTACTTTTACGTATTTGTTCAAAATTATTGTTTTAATTGATTTATCGAATATAGCGGTCATCGCCAGATTATAGAATGTAGAATTAGTGGAAAGGGGCATTAGCGCAATTAGCAATTCATCCTGGAGGGGGGGCTAATGTTGAACCCAAGGGGGGGGCTAGGGTTTTTGTATTTAAAAAAAATGAAGAATAATATCATTAAAAATAAATACATTTTTTGAATAAAACGTTTACATGAATTTCTCTATCAATAAATTTGATAGACTTTAGGTTATATCAATTAAAATACACTCGCCAGCAAAATTAAGGCATAATTTGATTTTTTTTTATTTTTTGGAAAAACTAAAACGAATTCAAAAGTAAAATTACTATGTATTTGTTAGACAACTCGTTACCAAAATAATAAATTTCAAAGACATTTTATTAACTAGCTAAACAAGAAGATACAGTGGTTCAAAGAATAATGTCCAAAACGCAATACAAAAGCATTACAAAAAAATAATCAGAAGGCACGGTTAAATAACAGGTGTTGCCTCCCCCGGCACGGATTACTCCCCTGGCAATGTCTGGACATGCTGAAAACCTCATTCCTGATTTCATCTTGCTCGATAGCGCCCATACTTCCTCTAGTCTTAGCGATAACCCATTTAAATTGTTGGGTGGCATGTTGGTGGTTTGGTAGAGCTCGTAGACGCCTATTCATCATGTCCCAGATAGGTTCGATGGGATTGAGGCCTGGGCTATGCGCTGGAAAATCCATCGTCTCGATTTGGACCTCCTCCAAGTAATTGTTATCGTGCATAAAGAGAAAATTGTCCCCTATAAAGGGAGCGAATGTCCACAATGTACCTGTGAGCAGTGAGCCTCTCTGAACGATCACCAGTTCTGTTCGAACTTCCATATTAATGCCGCCCCATATCATAACCGACCCACCACCATAAGCATGTTTTGGTTGTATACAGCATTGCGCAAATCGTTCGCCCGGCCTTCTGTATACTGGAATACGACGATCGTTGCCATATAGGCAAAACCTAGACTCATCTGTGAACAATACGCTCGACCATTGATGGTTTTCCCAATTTACATGCTCTCTAGCAAAAGCCAGTCGGACTCTTTGGTGCTCTGGGGACAACGGTGGTCCAGTTTCAGCCATTCTGGGTCTCAGATTATCCTTCTTAAGTCCTTAAGACGTCTTCTTATCGTATCGCTGCTTATTTGTTGGTTATATCGCCTTATAAAATTTTGGCCGAGCAATGTAGCTGTCACAAACCTGTCCCGCAGAGCCTGAAGTCTCAAAAATCTATCCTGATGTGCATCGGTTATTCGACCACGGCCTTGGCCTGGTCTTCGCTGGTTATTTCCAGTGTCCTAGAATCTTCTTATTGCTCTTGAGATCGTTGATTGTCCAATATGAAATCTTTCCGCTATTTGTACCTGAGACAAGCCTGCTTCAAATAATGCAATATTGCAACACACTCTTCGGGGGTGAGATTGCGATTTTGACGTACGTTAAGGTTCATTTTACTGATTTAAGTGTTTAACAAATGTCAACAGCTTTGTCAACAAGACCTCAGAAGTTACATCAGAGTTAGCTAGGTTCAACCTAGATATAGCGGTTCTCTCTGAAACGAAGAAGAAAAGGAGAGGAAGTGAACATCTCGATAATTTCCTTCACTTCTGGTCTGGGATAGATAAGGCAAAACGAGCTCAAGCGGGTGTATCGGTACTGATAGCGAAAAAGTTATCTAAATTCTACAAGAATTACAACGCTGTCAGCGAAAGAATAGTAACTGTCACCTTGACTATTTTCGGTTTGGAAACAGTAATAATAGGTACGTATGCGTCCACAGGTGGTTCAAATCAAGCTGAAAAAGACTCTTATTATGCCACAATTTCAAAAGTTTTTACAGAAATAAAACCGAGTCAAGAAGTTCTAATCATGGGAGACCTTAACGCAAGAATAGGCAAGACAGAAGAAAGTAAAGTGGTTGGAAAACACGGAGAGGATGTCCTTAACCATAGACTTAAAATAAAATATAGACTACACTATTTACATCTCAACGCGGACAAACAACCTTTTTTGTACACATGTTTACTTCTGGGTACAGTCGACCGAGCCTTCCTCATCCAGCCTATGTTGTCACGTCTTTAATATTATCAATATTTTTTTTCTTGTTATACACATATATTGAGATATTAATACTACAGTTTAATAAAGTAGGTTTTAATATTCCAGAGATGTATTAAATAGTCCTTATACTACTAAATTATAAGTCGGATACTGTTTAAAAAGGATAAGTTCTTTACAATATGACAACACCGATTAGAGGCGAGGGAGCCTATTCATTCATTTATTACCTTGTAGTACGTGTCGCACGTGTGCGGTAAAGCTTTGTTGCCGCTATCTCCCCGGCTGTATTAACGCATTTTCTTAGCTTGTAGTGCTTAAGTGTTTATTTTATTGACTTTTTCTGTTCAAGAACTATAAAATATGGTTCGCCAGTGCCAAATTTGCAAGAAATTTGACTTAAATAATCCATTTAAGTCTTGAAACGACTTTTGACCGGTAGGCAACTCTCAATTTACCCATTGGGAGTCAGTGGCGTTGTTGTAGAAAGGCGCTTATTTAGATAATATTTTAGTAAAATGTAAAATCTGAATTTTTTCTCTTACATTACATTATTTACTTACTTACATTGTAACAAAATCATAATTATAACCCTGTTAATAATTAATAATGTTTTTATTAAAAATATATTCCGGTTTATTCTAAAATTATCTTCAGAATCTAAAATAACATACAAGAATTTTAAAATGATATTACATTATGAAACAATATTTTTTAATATACCGGGTCGTCTCAAAAGTGGCTCACCCTTATAACTTTTTTATTTTTTCAGATAAAAAAACAGATTTGTATGTTAGTACGTATATGACATAAATTAGGATTTATTGACGTATGCAATTGTTTTTGGTCTCTTCCTGTTTCACCGAAATGATTACATCTTTAGATTTTTAAAGGCACCCTCGGTATATTGCCACTTTATTCGATAAAAAATGACACTCTGAATAGAATGACATATCATATGTCAACTTTTGACATTGTCGCTTAAAAACATATCCTATTTTAAATTTCAATCCAGTTTTTTTCAATCCACTAAGTTTTAATCAAGGAGCCTTGGAAATATAGTTTTGATCGTCTAATAGGTTTCGTGTCTTGTCTAGGCCGGTTAAAAGATGTACAAATCGTATTTATCATACATATGTCAATTTTTTCAAATGGAACAAGGGTGACTCATTAGCATATTTGGAAAAAGCATTTTTTTATGAATATATTGATACCACACACTTGGTATTTCGAGTCAAATTGTCGTTATGAACCGCGTGTTACAATTACAATTAAACCATATGCGGAAATGTCAAAAGTTGACATATGATATGTCATTCTATTCAGAGTGTCATTTTCTATCGAATAAAGTAGAAATATACCGAGGGTGCCGTTTAAAAATTAAAAGTTATAGTCATTTCCGGTGAAACAGGAAGTGACCAAAAACAATTGAATGCGTCAATCAATCCAAATTTATTTCATATACTAACATACTAAATCTTTTTTTTATTTGAAAATATAAAAAATTACGGGATGAGCCACTTTTGAGACGCACCATAATAAAGACAGTACCGAGTTAAATAAATGTAGTTTTTATTTTATCCACTTCCTATCACCTTCCTTGCTTTAATGGAACAGATTTATGTTTTCTCTAATTTACATAATAAGATATCACTTAACCAGAAAAAAAATTACAACAATCATATTTTTTTTCCCTGTCGCCGATTCTATTATATCTGTGGAATAGATCCTGTTTTGATTAATATTAGGGGTTGTAAATGTTTGACTAAAATTAATAATTTATTATTAATTTCAAAAATTACCTAATTTCGATTATAAAATTTCTTCTATAACGTGTATTTTATTATTTTTATCCTTTTTGGACTCTAAATTGTTTTTTCTAAACTTTTATTTAAAAAATCTGTCCTAAATCTTAATAAAATATAAAAAAGTTTAAATACGATATATTTTTAATTTAATTATAGCTTTATTAAAATAAAAAAATTACCCGGCTATGATACGGAGAGTTCAGGTGTACTTGAGAAACGAAAGACAGTGTTGTGTTTCTCGGCAGAGTCGTCAGGGAACGACCGTTACGACAGAGACAACCTATCTATCGCTCGTGTCGCACTCGTTATAACCTAAAACAATAACACAACAATAACAAGACAGTGTCTGACCGCATGTTCCAGCTATTTATGAATGAGATGCTCAGTCTATATTTTATTTTAAGTCTATGTCCTTAACGATTCCGGAGAGAGGTTAATTGACTTTTGCGAACTGAATGGTCTGCGGATACTTAACGGCTTCTTTCCAAATAAATTGGTTCATCGATACGCCCGAGAAAGGCCCTCTCTGCAACAAAAATCTATAATTGATTACGTAATTGCTAAACAAATATCGAAACTGAAATTCAAAGACTGCAGAGTTAAGAGAGGAGCAAATTGTGGATCCGGCCACCGGTTGGTTGTTGCAGAATTTGTAGTACCATTCCAAATCAGAGCCAGGAGTATTGAACATACAGAATCACAAGAACTGGAAATCGAGGAATCTGAACGTGTTAAGTACAAGCTTCACTTACTACACGATGCCAGTATTAAATGGCTGTACCAAAGAAGATTAGATGGAGCCCTAGAGGAAGTGAATGCCTGTAGTGATGTAGAAATAGAGTATACTAACTTAAAAACCTTACTTAAAAAAGTAGCCTTTCAAGTGTTAGGTGAACAGAACATGCAGAAGAAAAGGGATGAACCAGCCTGGATAACTGATAACATAAAGACCTTAATAAATGAAGAACAAAAATTCTATCAAAAATGGCTCTCAGACAGAACAGAGACTAACTGGGGTCATTACAAGCAAAAAAACAGAGAGGTACGAGCCGCTATTAAGGTAGGAAAAACGGATATGTGGGAAAGAAGATGTCAGCAAGTGGAAAGTCTACTAGGGGGCGCACGGAGCACTGTGGTCTGGCGAACAATCCGACAAATGAAAACCAGTCAAACGGACAAGCTCTTGAATAAAATTGATATAGAAAATTGGCGCAACTACTATGCAGAATGACTAACAGAAAACCGACCAGAATTCCAATCAGCAGAAGAGGAAGACAACCTTGCGGGCACTTTAACGATCAGCGAAACAGAAGTACATCTAAGTCTCAAAAAAATGAAAAATGGACGATCACCAGGTCCTGGTAACATTGCAGTAGAATTGTTAAAGTGTGGGACCGAGAAATTGCGCTTGCGCCTGTCAGAGCTGTTCAACCAGTGCTGTCTGCAAAATAAACTACCCCAAGAATGGAGAGTGGCTCATATAGTGTCTATCTTTAAAAAGGGAAATCGCAACGACCCCGGTTGTTATAGAGGCCTGAGCATTAACAGTTCAGTGAGCAGGCTTTTTGGAAAAGTTCTGCAGGGTAAGCTCAGGGATAATATTGGTGACAAAATCTCGGAAGATCAAAACGGATTCACACTTGGGGAAATCTTGCACAGATAACCTCTTTGTCCTACAGCAGGTGATGGAAAAAAAGATAGCAGTAGATCAAGAAGTCCATCTAGCGTTTATTGATTTGGAGAAAGCGTACGACTCTATTCCTCGCAACAAGATATGGGAAGCCTTGAATATTTTAGAAGTAGATAGATCCCTACTTAAGATAATAAAAGAGCTCTATAAAGAAAATAAAGCGTACGTTAAGATAGGACACAGGCTATCCAATCCAATAAATACCACAAAAGGGTTGCGACAAGGATGCAGTTTATCACCTCTAATCTTCAATGCTTAAGTTGAAGTAGCCCTTAGGCAATGGAAGAGGAGATGCCAAGGCATGGGAATACCCATTGGGGAAGATATACTGTTTACTCTGAGCTTTGCAGACGATCAGGTCGTGATTGCGCAGGACTCTTTCGATTGGAGTTCATGACTAAGAGGCTTTACCAAGAATATAACAAATGGGGACTTCAGGTTAGTCTAAAAAAGACAGAATACTTAGCTGTCAATTCCAACGCTTGTTTTGAAGTCTTCATAGATGATAACGTCCAGATTCAACAAGTAGACAAATTTAAATACCTGGGTGCTACTATCAACAACGAGGGTCTGGGCAAAGAAGAAATACAAACCCGAATTCAGAAGAGCAAACAAGTTATGGTTGTCTTAATAGCCTCTGGTGGGACCGAAACTTGTCTGCAACAACTAAAAAGAGACTTGGACGAACATTCGTGGAGTCAGTTCTTTGCTATGGTTCAGAGCTATACGAAGCGCAAAATCCAAGTTGTTGAAATGGACTATCTTAGAAGGAGCGCAGATATATCTAGGATGGAAAAAAAGACAAACATCGAGGTCAGGCGTATCATGAATGCATCGGAGGAGACAGTGCTAGATCGAATTGAAAAATCCAGCTTAAAGTGGTTTGGACATGTTCTACGTATGCCGGAGAACAGGTGGTCAAGAAAAGTTTTTCAATGGACTCCCCAGGGTAGAAGAAAGAGAGGCAGACCTAGAAAATCCTGGAACGGAACGGTTAAGGAAGCAATGGAAGCTCGTAACCTAGAAGCTGATGACGCACTAAATCGAGACGTGTGGCGTAGGGGGTAACGGGAAGGCAGCAATAGGCTGTAGTTGGAAAAAAGTATCAAATACTTATACCAAATCCCGTTTATATATAAGTGTTTAACAGACAACAGCCGCGCACTCAAATAAAATGATCTTAAAATAAACGACTTCGAGCATTTCAGCGAATATACCTTTTTTTGGGAATTTATAAAAACTATATTGATTCTTATCAGTCACGAAAAAAAAGGATGGCCTCAGCAAGAAATAATAAACAGAAGTAATTTTAGGCCAATATAACTGATCTAAAATACAGACAATAAAACTTATAAGACAATATACGATTATGCGTTAATTTTGCTGGCGAGAAATAGTTTATTTTATATATTTTAACTTTTTTAACTACGTAAATGGCTATGATCAACGATGACAAGACTGATCTAAAAGAGTATACAGAAGATAGTGCCGGCAATCTTGAAGTTAATCCGGTGTTCAGTTTTATAGTCAGTCTAATAGTCAGTAGCCTAGCAGCCTGGTCAACGATGATTACATTAATGTAAGTAGGTACTTATCTTCTGAAACGCATAAGACTTGGCACTTCGTCCAAATTTTATTCATTGATTGTTTGATTCAATATTTTACAAAAAATAATAAATATACGTTTATAATGTAGAGACAAAATCGTTTTTCAAAATTAGTTATGTTAAAACCTACTCAAGTCTGTAAAAGTAAAAGTAAAATATTTTTAAGTTAACGTCTTCTGTTTGCTGCTAAGGCTAATCTGGACCTAGTTTATTTACGCGAAATGCGAACCGCGGTCTTCGGCCATATCATTGTCAATACCTTAACGACTATAGGCGAGTGCCTAAACGATTCAACTCTTACTCACGAGATATTCGATCTACCGGCATGAATGAACACTGTGTGTTAATAAATTTTAGCCTTTGCCATGCATAGAACAACAGACAACAGAACGACAGTGTTCCTAGACGGTCACCCGTACATCCACTCTCGTCCTCTCACATCGTCGCTTAACTTCGGTGATCTATCGCGATCCGCTGTTCTGACGTAGCTGGGTCGCTCAAGGTTGTAATTATAAAATGAAATATATTTTATTATTAACAAATATTATTAACTCTATCTATCTCTCCGTATGGGTTGCAAGTTATTGGTACATCTATTTTTTATTAATCTGCGTTCTGTACTACCGAAACAAAACGAAACAAAAGGGCAACTATTTAAAAGACGATTTACGTGACCGACACGTAACAGGGCTCTAATTAATAGAGGGACGTCATTGTAGGGCCTGGGGCGGAAAAGTGGAGGGAGAGGAGAAATACGATTCACGCGAAGCCTTCATTAGCAGGAAAGCTCGATAGCGACGTCAAAAAAATCGAGCTGCAGGAGGTCTGGAAAGAGACCTTTTGCAGCGGACGTAGCGACATAGAAAAGTGCAGATAATAATAATTGTTAGATAGAGGAATATATTTTTAATGGAACAATATTCTTTAAATTACTATTTAAAATGGTAGGTTAGGTATACAGGGTAGGCCACTGAAAACTTACAATGGCTATAATTTTTAAACCAAAAAAGATATCAAAAAATAAAAAAATACCGTTTCTATAATATGGAGGGGGAATACATATGACGGATTTTTTGAACCACCCCTACTCACTTGAAAATCTTAAATGGCAACACCCCACTTGTGGCGCCTTTTTGAAAAGCCCATGAAAAACAAAGGATGATCATAAAGTTTTTAGGGTGAAATTGAAAAACTACCCCTTACACGAAAAATTAGTTGGACATTAATGAGAAAAGTGATTTTTTCAGCATAAGTTATAAATTGGGACCCAACTAAATGAGGTATTTTTCAAACCACCCCGACCCACCCCTAGGTGCCACCCCCTCACTTCTAACCTCAAGATAGCGATACCCCACTTGTGACACCTCTTTGGAAAGCGTATAAAAAATGCTGAACAACTGTCATAAAAAAGAACGAACAAAATCAATAGAATGAATTATTTTTGTATTCATGTACCATTGCGAGAAAAAAAACTGGTACAAAGAAATTTATTATAACTCTTAATGAAGACCTCATACACTTTCAGCAAGATGGAACCCCTCCGCATTATTCTATTGTCACAAGGCGGTGGTTGGATAAATATTATCCAAAGCAATGGATTGGCAGAAGGGGTCCAATCGAGTGGCCGCCAAGGTCATCTGATCTCACTCCTTTAAACGTTTTCTTGTGGGGTTACACTAAATCCATAGTCTACAAGACAAAACCAGGTTTGTTGCAAGAATTGCGGCAGAGGAGAACTAAAGCATATCGAAATATTCCGAGAGAGACTTTCCAAAAAGTGAGAAGGATTTGAAAATCGTTTGTATTTTTGTATGGAACAAAACGGCTGTCATTTTGAGCAATTGTTAAAATAAATTAAGGTCAATGGGCTTGACCCAATCTTGCGAGATGACCCAAAACGACCGAAAGTTACCCGTTCTCGAAGTGTTTCAAAAAGATGGTGCCAACATTTTTTGTCTCAAAAGCGACTCATGTAGCAACAATTCCTCTGCAAGATCAAAGAACTGTTACTGCTGATTGGTACTTATCAATTTGTTTGCCAGAAGTAACGCGGCAACTAAAATCCAGATTATATTATTTTATTATAATTGATTCTGACGAACAGGGGCGAATGCAGGAATTTATTTTAGGGGGGGGGGCGAAATAAAAAGTAAGTAATGTAGAATATGCTTTTTAGGGCGCCATTTTTAACCTAAAAGCCGAGGGGTAAACCGCAGAGGAATTATGGTGTACACTATGAAGGAATTCTACAGGAATTCCAAGGAATTACGAGGAATTCCAAGGAATTCCATAGGAATTACTAGGAATTCCAATTATTTCCTTAAGAATTCCAATGAATTCCAAGGAATTCCTTAGAAATTTAGAGGAATTCCACAGGAATTAAGAGGAATTACAAGCAACTTTATAAAAAATTAACGAACATTAGTAAACCATGAATACTATAATAGGTAGTAGTAAATTTAAAGAAAAACGTTTTGCAGGCGATTTTTTACTATCCGTTTTCGCTTCCAAAATTTCCCAATATCAAATATCTACAGGTTAGATATTCTTTTAATTTAATATTGTGCCCTCGATTATATATCTAAAATATTTTCCAATAGTACGGCCGAACCACCCCCGAGAGATCTACTTATAACGTTCCCTGATTTCGCCATTTTAAAGAAACCCTCATAAGATTTTTTTATTCAGTACTCCAGAAAGTGTAAAGTTGATTTTTTCATTTCCTCGGAATAATACCTAGGTATATACTATAGGAAAATTAATACAACTTTAGGTGCACTTCATCAATGATACCATGCGTAATCTTATGGAATTTACTGGTGATCGTATTATGACGTGCAACTGAAGTTTTATTAATTTCCTTTCCTATAGATACGAGTATAACTAGGTACCTCTCATTTTCAAAAAATCCCGAGAAAAATTAATTTTAATAAG